AACGTTTCTGGCTTCCTCTTCCTCTCTAGTTACTTTCTAACCATCTTTTTAATGATGCTCTTTCCTGGAGTGTTGGTCCTGGACCTCACTTGTTTTTCTTATTCTGCATATTATCCTTGAGTGATCTCATCTCATCAAGTATTTGTCTCTTTTTACATTTCCAGTTTCATTTTCTCTACTGAGCTCCAGACTTGCATATCTAACTACCTAAGGATTTAACACCTTAAACTTAACATATCCAGATAAAAACCCAACATCTCTCCTTCCAGATTTCTAATTTCACTTTAATTTGTGTGTGCGCACGTGCGCTCTCTCTCTCTCGCTCTCTCTCACGTAAACCAAAGAGTATCTGAGGCGGGTCTCAATTTAGGAAGTTTATTTTGCCAAGGTTAAGGATGCACCCATAACATGGCCTCAGGTCCTTAAGAAATGTGCCCAAGGTGGTCAGGGCACAGCTTGTTTTTTTTTTTTTTTTAATACATTTTAGGGAGACATGAGACATTAATCAATATGTGTAAAATATACATGGGTTTCATCCAGAAAACTGGGGCAAGACGAAGTGAGGAGGTGGCTTCCAGGTCGTAGATAGATAGAGACAAACAGCTGCATTCTTTTGAGTTTCTGATTAGCCTTTCCAGAGGAAGCAGTCAGATACAAATTTATCTCAGTGACCAGAGAGATGACATTGAGGCTGTCTGTTCTTTGTCCACAAGAAATTTCTGTGTGGACAAATTGTGAGGGAGGTATGTAGCTTTTAAAAGAAATCTTTGCAGCTGTCTTTTTAAGGACTAGAATGGGAGGCAGATTTGCCCTAAGCAGTTCCCAGCTTGACTTTTCTCTTTGGCTTAGTGATTTGGGGGTCCCAAGATTTATTTTCCTTTCATACAGCAAAGGTATCCATTCTTCTCAGTTTTGCCAGAAATGCAGACAAAGGAATCCTGAACCTTCCCCTCTCTTTAGAATTGTACCGTTACCTCAGCTAGTTCTGTCCATTTTCTAATACGATTTTCCAGCAGTGTTGTGAGTCTCTCAGAACAGTTATTAAATAATACTTTCACTTTGCAGATGGGGCACTTGGAGAAGTTGGGAGTTTTTTTCATAATGGAAGTTGTAGGAAGTGTCAGTGCTGGGAAAGAGTGGAAATCTGTTGTTTTTTCCGTGTTATTTAAGAAGGAGAAACAGATGAAAAACCAAGAGAACTAAAAGAGAAAAGTTGATCGCCTCATGGTAGTAAGAATGTAAAGGAATCAGCTTTCACAACACCTCACTTTTGAGACGCCAGTTTCCATTTTTCACTGTTTTATATATTTCCTGTTCACTGCTAGAGAGGTGTTGGATCTTTACTCTCCCCACTTAGAGCCACAGCTGCTGTTCTTTTAACAGCTATATTGAGATATAATTCACTACTATGCAATTCACCCACTGAAAGTATACAATTCAGTGGTTTTTAGTATGTTCATAGAGTTTTGCAACCATCACCACTAGCTGGTTCCAGCATGTTTATGTCCTCCCTAAAACAAATCCCATATACTTTATCAGTCAGTTCCCACCACCCCCAGCCTAAGTAACCACTAATGTATTTTGTGTCTCTATAAATTTGCCTACCCCGAATATTTTATATAACTATAATCATGTATAGTCCTCTGTGACCTTTTCCCATTTAGCATAATAATTTCAAGGTTTATTCCGATTGTACCATGTATCAGTACTTCATTCTTTTTTATGGCCAAATAATATTCTATTGTATGGATATACCACATTTTGTTTATCCATTTATCAGCTGATGGATATTTGGATTGTTTCTGCCTTTGGGTTGTTGTGAATAATGCTGCTAAGAACATTTGTATACAAGTTTTTGTGTATATCTATGTTTTCATTTCTCTTGGGCATATAGCTAGGAATGGAATTACTGGCTCCATATGGTCACTATGTTTAATGTCTTGAGGAACTGCCAGCTGTTTTCCAAAGTGGCTGTCCCATTTTACATTTCCACCAGCACTGTATGCGAGTTCCAATTTCTCTACATCCTTACCGATACTTTTTATTGCTTTTCTTGTTGATTATAGCCATTCTAGTGGACTGAATTTCTTGCTCATTGTGATTTTGATTTGCAGTGGCTCTGATGGCTAATGGTGTTAAGCATCCTTTTGTTTGCTTGTTGGCCATTCATATATTTTCTTTGGAGCAATGGATATTTAAATCCTTTGTCCAGTTTTAAATTCAGTTGTCTTTTGATTATGAGTGTAAGAGAGATTTTAGATTTGTCTTTTATCAGATTAATGATTTTCACATATGTTCTCCCATTTTGTGTATTGCCTTTTCCTTTCTTGATGGTATCATTTGAAGGACAAACATCTTAAATTTTGGTGTCAGAGCTGTGCATTTAATTAAATAATAGGACACCATTGTGCTTTGGTAAGGCGGAGAGAGCTTTCCTCTTGTTAAAATGGCTGGAGGTCTCAACATAGGTAGAGCTCCTTGTGAGGTCTCACCACTTGTGATCTATCTCCTCCTGGCTACTATTATGCCTCCTTTCCTTCCTCCCTGTGTAGCCTGTTCTGTGGCTATGATGACCACACTGTAGGAACAGGCCTGTTTTGGCTTTTGGCCTCCTGGAGTGACAGAAGCTGGCACTGTGTCAGTATTTTATAAAGAGATTGCTATTTCCAAGATATTAATGGATACTGTGAATCTCATCTTACACCTCATTTCTCTACTGGGTTTCTTTTCTAAATGAAGCACTGCCCCTGGCTGCTGAGCAGCTCTTGTGCTTGACTGACAGGCAAGGTCTGCAGTCATGGAACTCATTGGCCCTGGAGATAACCAGGTAACAGCACCCCTAACAAGAGGAGCCACTTTTCCATTAACACTTTGCTGCTGGTTCACAATCCTGTATCTAGAACTTCATGCCACTGGGATATTAGACACCAGTGTGCCTTGGGCATCTGAATGTCATGGATCAATATGATATCAAAAAATGTTGGGGTATTAATATACAGTTACTAAGTTTTAATTTTTTTCATAAGTATATTTGGTATCATAACTGCCATCGTGGCAGAAAATAAGATTTTCCTATCAAGAGAGTGCAAAAGATGTAATGTTAAATAAATTTACCTTTGTGAAAAGTCAGTATATTGTTCTTACTTTGCTATCCACCACTCAAAAACATATTACAGTCTCTAGATTCATATTTGAGAACAACAGTCTTACATACTTAGCATAAATCTTTGTTGGAAAAGTAGAACCTTCACTTAATCAGGTATTTACTGATTAACTTACTGATCTGTGTGATGCCAGGTACCAGTTTTATACCGATTATTTCCCTACACCATAGTAACTGTTTCAGTTGGGTATATTTAGACACATATTTCTGTATTTTGTGTGTATCTCTGCTGATACACAGGTAGTTCTCTAATAACACAGATGAGAAAATGGAATTATTTTAGATACATATGAGTATAAATATGAATTTGACTTTTAAAGGATCAAAAAGAATAATCAGTCAAAAGGTAGAATGGCTTCTATTTATAAATACAATGTGTAATTTCTGGATTATGTATGTATATTCTAGGTTGGGAGTACTACATAAATTCTATTGATTTTTGTCTCATCTGAATTACAATGTCAAATAGATATTAGGATTTTACCATAAGATAGTTATGGGCTGTCATATTGGCACGTTAATTACAATAATTGTGCCGTAAAGAAGCCATAGGAATAGATAATATGCTGTATGTTTTGATGAGATTGTAGTTATAACCCCTTATTTATGGTAATAAAACCTTGTAAATTGACACTGCTGACAAGCTCTTTTGCTTTCCTTTTCAACTTTCCAAGTTGGTTTATCAGTCTATTTAGGAATTACAGGCTGTGAGCCATAAAATATACACTAAAGCTCACATTCCAGGATTTTCTGTACTCGTTGATGCTATACACATTAAATTCATTCAGTAATATTTGCTAATCATTGTCCTAAGTGTTGGTAATCAGAGATGTATAAAGCAGTGCCTACTCTGAAAGCTTAATAAATGGAGAAGTGAGGTAAAATGTCTGTATATAAATAAATATGACCGATATTGATTGAACCACATATGTGAGGCACATGTGATAAGTTCCTTAGAAACAGGACAAAATACTGTACAAGTTCAGAGGAGGAAGGGATGATTCCAGGCCTACGTGATCACTGAAGCTGTAAGGCTCAGTGGTAGAGGAATTACTTTGCATCTATGATGTAAATCTTTGAGCTATCTCTAAAGATACATCTGCATTCTAGAACTGTAGTGAGAGGTAGGTGGCTAAATGCACTGACATGGAAATCAACTTTTGTTCTAGGCCCAGCTGCACTGCAACCTTATTTTGTGTCCTGGAGTATATAAATTTGATGTAATAATATGTGTCCAGCATATCTCACTATGATGAATGAGATAATGTGGATGCCTAAGTTGCTCCCTGTGGTGAAAGTCAAATTGCTTGGCAGGTGTATATTTTTTTTCAGGCAACTCAGGCCATACATTTGTATGGTAGTAAGCATAGTTTTCCATGACTAAAAGGATTAATATCCATATCAAAGTGCCTAATTTATTGCTAGGGAAAAGCATATTCTGTGTAACATCTGAGCTGTTGTCTGAAAAAATTGGTGAATTCCTTGGAGAAGCTGCCTATATGAATACATAGTATTATTGTAATCAGTGAACTGTGTTACAAAGGCAACAAATGTTTATTGAGATGCTATTGCTGGTGTACGGACTTTACAATTGGTTTTAAGTTTCTTACATCATTTCCAATTTATAGCAGAGGAAACTGAGGCTTAGATAAGTTTTAAAAGTTGCTTAGATCATACAATTGTTTGAATTCACATCTGCTGAAATCTAACATTTATGCTGTTTACATTGTAGAATGCTACATTGCTTTAGTTTGATGTTTTTCTTGCAGGTCACTGCAAGCCATTAATCTGCAGGTGTGTATATGTGTAAATGTTATTTATTTGTTTATGTCACTAGGTTGCTTCTAGAACTGCTGGAGTTACTGTTTGACAAGTTTAATGCTGTAGCCACTGCACACTCTGTAGTCCTGGGATACCTGCAGGACACTGTAGTGACTCCGCTGACTCAGCAGGAAGATATCAAATTGTATGATATGGCAGATGTGTGGGTGAAGATCCAGGATGTTCTACAGGTAAGCGCCTTTTACAAAGGGTGTCATCTTTATTCAGAGTAACAGTTCAGAACAACAATAGCAGCAACAACAAGCCATCTAAAACATTACCTTAAGAGTCATAAACAGGGTGAGAAAGTAATGCTTGTATTTGAATCTGATGCTGCTGATGGCATTAACTTCTACCATCTTCAAAAAACTTTTTAACAGTGTGGGTGCAGTGGCTCATGCCTGTAATCCCAGCACTTTGGGAGGCCAAGACGGGCAGATCCCTGAGCTCAGGAGTTCAAGACCAGCCTGGCCAACATGGGGAAACCTTGTCCCTACTAAAATTATAAAAATTAGTTGGACATGGTGGTGGGTGCCTGCAATCTGAGTTACTCGAGAGGCTGAGGCAGGAAAATCACTTAAACTCAGGAGGTGGGTTGCAGTGAGCCAAGATCATACCACTGCACTCCAGCCTGGGTAACGGAGTGAGACTGTCTCAAAAAAAA